AGGGGGAGGGAGTTTGGGGGGGAAGGGGGAGGGGCAGCGCCGCTGGCCCCGCCCCCAGCGCGCGCCCGTGGATTTTCCAGGTTCTAGATTAAAAACTTTCCAGAAAGATCCCGCGTCTCCCACCAGTATGGACCAGTACAAACCAGTACGGGTCGGGGCTCCCAGTACAGACCAGTATAGATCAGAGCTCCCAGTACAGACCAGTATGGATCAGGGCTCCCAGTACAGATTAGAGCTCCCAGTACAGACCAGTGCTCCCAGTACGGACCAGTACGGATCAGGATGGCGTGGATTCGATGGGGATGTTGGGGAGGGATGGGGGGTTGAGGCCCCGTGGGGCCTGAGGAGCGACCTTCTGGATGGACCTGGGACCTTCTGGATGGACCTGGGACCTTCTGGGGATGTCCTGGATGGAGCTTTGGGATGTTCTCAATGGACCTGGGACCTTCTGGGGATCTTCTGGATGGACCCGAGATCTTCTGGATGGACCTGGGACCTTCTGGGGACCTTCTGGATGGACCTGGGACCTTCTGGGGATGTCCTGGATGGACCCGAGATCTTCTGGATGGACCTGGGATCTTCTGGGGCCATCGTGGATGGAGCTTTGGGATGTTCTCAATGGACCTGGGACCTTCTGGATGGAGCTTGGGATGTTCTCGATGGACCTGGGACCTTCTTTTTCCAGGTTCTAGATTAAAAACTTTCCAGAAAGATCCCGCGTCTCCCACCAGTATGGACCAGTACAAACCAGTACGGGTCGGGGCTCCCAGTACAGACCAGTATAGATCAGAGCTCCCAGTACAGACCAGTATGGATCAGGGCTCCCAGTACAGATTAGAGCTCCCAGTACAGACCAGTGCTCCCAGTACGGACCAGTACGGATCAGGGCTCCCAGTATGGACCAGTGCTCCCAGTACGGACCAGTGCAGATTAGGGCTCCCAGTATGGACCAGTACGGACCAGTATAGATCAGGGCTCCCAGTATGGACCAGTACGGATCGGGGCTCCCAGTACAGATTGACGTGGGGCCTGAGGAGCGACCTTCTGGATGGACCTGGGACCTTCTGGATGGACCTGGGACCTTCTGGGGATGTCCTGGATGGAGCTTTGGGATGTTCTCAATGGACCTGGGACCTTCTGGGGATCTTCTGGATGGACCCGAGATCTTCTGGATGGACCTGGGATCTTCTGGGGCCATCGTGGATGGAGCTTTGGGATGTTCTCAATGGACCTGGGACCTTCTGGATGGAGCTTGGGATGTTCTCGATGGACCTGGGACCTTCTGGATGGAGCTTGGGATGTTCTTGATGGACCTGGGACCTTCTGGATGGAGCTTGGGATGTTCTCGATGGCCCTGGGACGTCCTTGGATGGACCTGGGACCTTCTTAAGGACGTCGTGGATGGAGCTGGCACCTTGGCGTGTCCCTCACTGGCCTTGTCACCCTCTTGGGGACAGCGGAGATGGACCTGGGGGACATCCCCGATGGAGCTGGGACCTTCTTGTTGTTGGGGGAGGAACATCATCGTTGATGGACTTGAGGCCGTGGGGACAACCTTGGTGACCTGGGGACATCTCGTGCTGGCCCAGGTCACCAGGAGGCCACCTTGGGTGGCCTCAGGACACGTGGGGACATCCTCAAGGGCCACGGGGACGTCCTTGGTGGCCCAGGAACCTTTGGGGGGGGGGAACATCTCTGGTGGCTTCCAGGCAGCCATCTTGGGTGGCCCGGCTTCTCCTGGGAGGGACATCCCCCTGGTGGCCTTGGGGACATCTCTGGTGGCTTCTGGAGACATCTCTGGTGGCTTCTTG